GGAGGACATATGGGGCACCTGCAAGAGGATGCAGCATCATGATCTGTGATCACTATGTCTCTTTGTGTACAGGGCTTCTGTGATTGGCCCTGTACCATGTAATTGCTGTGACTAGTTAAAGTGATCACATTAACCGTAGTAAACAAAGGCTCTCATTCTTACAATCATTGTTTACTACTGTGGTTGCTGTGATTAGTCACATAGTACAGGACCATGGGTGACTGATCACAGTGATCACAATAGTAAGCAAAGACTGCATGAATGACAGTCTGGGTGTCATCTTGACAGCTGTAAGAAATTACAAAAAAAAAAATCACCCCCAGAGCAGGACAGTGTCATAATTATGACAAGCACTGATTTAGTGACAGTGTGTAAAACAATTGTAAAAATATTTTTTTCATACTGTCACTGGAACAAGTGCAGTATTACCATGGTGAAATTGTTCTGGAGGCAGTACAATATCGCCATAGCAACAATTAACAAAACTTGTGGCAAAGAAATTAACTCTTCAAAAGACTCATCATGCAAAATACCTTGGGAACTCTCAAAAATTTTGTGGGTGTTTCCACTGTCCTGGTGGTCCAGGGACTCCAAAAAATTTGATAGGTAGTCAGGAAATTAGATGTGCAATTTATGTCTCTAAAATGCCCGAAGGTACTTAATGGATTTTGGTCCTCTCTATGTGGCTGTGTACGCTGTGTAAGTCTAATGCATGTGGTATCCCCCCTACTCAGGCGGAGTATGAATATGGAGCAGAATGTGTTTTGAGGTGTAACTCTAAGTATGCCTATGCTGATTGTTAGAAATATTTTATTAATTTACAACTTTGTGTAAATAATTACATTTTCAAAAACTTGTGGCAAAAAAAAGACTTTTTGAAAGACTCGCTATGCCTTTCATAAAATAACGTGGTGTGTGTCTTTGCAAAATGTGTCATTTTACGGGTATTTCTCTTGTCCTGGGACTCAGGAAATATAACAGATAGTCAAAAAAGTGCACAGAATACACATATATATATATATATATATATATATATATATATATATATATATATAATATATACACCCCTGCATTTGTGTCAGATAATGCACCACTTCTGCACCCAGAAAATTTTTTGGAATTACAAATGTTTAGGCTCATGCTTATTTCTTTTGTTTGTATTGGTGACACAAGAAAATGGGGAAACAAAAAACTAAATCTGACACCTTCCACACAACCCCCCCCCCCCCCCCCCCCAAAAAAATGGACTGGACAAAATTATTGGCACCCTTAATTTAATATCTGTTAGCACACCCCTTTGAAAAAATAAGTGAAATCAATTGCTTCCTGTAACCTACAATGAGTTTCTTACACCTCTCTACTGGAATTTTGAACCACTCTTCTTTCTCTAACTGCTCCAGGACTCACAGATGGGAAACTGCTGTTTTGAGATCTCTCCACATATGCTCTTTAGAACTGAGATCCATCATGTGTGACTGTAGAGACTGTATTCTTTTCTTTAAAGGCCTCATTGTTTTTTTCTGAAAACAGTATAATGATTGGCTTTACCAAAAAGCTGTAATTTTGTTTCATCTGTCCACAGCACATTTTCCTCAGGTACGTTTTGGTGAAAACCATTCTGGATTTTGTTACGTTTCTGTGTCAGCAGTGGGGTCCTCCTGGGTGTCCTACCATAGCATCCTTTTGCATTCAGATGGCGATGTATAGTGTGAGCTGACAATTGTACTCTGTGCTTGAAGGTCAGCTTGAATTTGTCTGATAGTTAAGTTAATTGAGGTTCTTTATCCACCATTCGAACAATCCTTCATTGCAGTTTTTGATCAATTTTTCTATCTCATCCACGTCCAGGGAGATTAGCTACAGTGCCATGGGCTGTAAACGTCTTGAAAATGTTGCACATAGTGGACACAAGAACATCAAGATCTCAGGAGATGGACTTGTAACCTTGAGTTTGTCCATGCTTTTCAACAAGTTTTGATCTCAAATCCTCTTTCTCTTCTCTGTGCTCCATTTGGCACATTGAAACACACAACAAAGAATGGATCAATCTTTCAAATTATATAAGACTTTAGGATGCCTGCTATTACAATGCATAAAATACTGTTAAAATTCCATCAATGTATTCTGTTCATATAGAAACATTAAAAATATAACATATTTCGCCCCAACATGACTTCTTTTCTGTATACAAACATATAGTACATGGAAACTCTACAATTTTGTTTCACAGTTTATCGTTACTCCTCCCAGCTAACTACTGTATATACCACTTGACTCCCTTGTTATTGTAAAAACTCAGTAGTATATAGGTTCAGAGTGGCTCTGGTGGGAGGGATTTGAATAATTTTAACACAACCCAGTTTGTGCACTCCAAATACCCCATTTCTTCAGGTTCTGTGAAACTTTATTGCACTGTCACAAATACTGGGATCAGGAACCTGGGGACCACCAACCACACCAAACCTCCCCCAATCTTACATAAGGGGCCTAAATAGTATTTTCTTATACAAGAGAAGAGGAGGGGAGATGGAAACCTTAATGTATATGATAATCTTCATCTGTTCTTGGCTCCCAACAAACCATGTGCACTCCCTGTAGGATAGGAAACCTCTAGGGCATAATTTATACTCCTTAAGCCCTGGTTCACACTAATGCAGTGCGGGACATGCAGCAAATCTTGTGCATTTTCTGCACTGCATTGCAATCGCACAGCATTCATGCGATCTGGTATGGGTGTCAATAATAAATGTATGACACTCTGAAACAAATCGCAAAATGCAGTGTGATTCCCAGAATTAGCCTTGTATGGGTGTAAAAAAGGGTCCTGGATCTTTTTTAGTGCGGATGCGATACGATTTGAGCCATACAAAATGTATGGCTCAAATCGCACTGCACAGTCATCGCATGTGATTTGCACAGGAATGTGGTACAATTGCCGCACCACATTAGTGTGAATCAGGGCTGAAAGCCCAAAGTTGCTCCTTGGATTTTGGGCCTCTCTATGCATCAAAGCTGTAAAAAAGTCACACACATGTGATATTCCCATACTCGGAAGGTTTAGCAAAATATGTTTTGGGGTGTAATTGTATGTATGTATTCCTATGAGGTGTGTGAGAAATAATTTGTTAAAATGAAAAACAAACCTTATTTTCCAAAATATTGTAACAAAAAACTCACCTAGCCTCTCAATAAATATGTCTACTTTCCAAAAAAAGGACATTTTGGGGGTATCTACTGTTTTCTCGCATTTTAGGGCCTCAAACATTGAGATTGGTACCCAGGGTTTGTTTCATTTCCAAATATAAAGCATATATCATAGTTTGTAGACTATATGACTTTCACATAGAATAAATAATATACATTGATTCAGAGTTTTTTGTACAAAAAGTAACAGAATAAATTATGACCTAAATATATGAAGAAAAACTATTTGCAAAGCGTTATAACAAAAACTAAGAAACATGTTTTTTAAAATTTTTCTGTCTTTTTTCATTTATATAGCAAAAAATAAAAACCCCAGTGGTGATTAAATACCACCAAAAGAACAAAAGAGCTCTATCTGTCTCAAAAAATTATGTAAAACTCATGTGGGTCTTTGCAAGTAATTGTTATTCAAAGTGTAACAGTGCTGAAAACTGTCCTGGGCAGGAAGGTATTGAAACTCCCCAGTGGGATAACAGACAGCAATAAAAATTTTGACCGAGGAAACTTGACCGAGGGTCTAACCCCTCCTAGAATCTATCCAAAACTAAAAAAAAGGTTTACCTAGCGATATACTTTATATTGCATATTTGTATATTTACTGCAATAGAGTTCCAGTCACAAAGTAAAGAGCAGAAGACATCTGAACATTGTGCCATGGGAACAGATTAACTAAATGAAATAGAAATAGAGTGCTTGGTGGAATACTCTTACATTAATTATCAGGGAGAAGGAATACATGCCTTCTAACATCCATCTGGCTTCTTAGAACCAAAACAAAATAATTTACTATAATTCTACAGCAACAATTTACAGAGAATTCTTTGGTTCATTGTGGTAGTGACAGTTTTTTCTGAAGCATGCCTTCACAAAGATAAAGCTCCGCTTTAGTCCAAAGTAGGTTAACGATGCAATTATCCAGAGAATTAACAGTGCATGCACTGCCTCAGAAATTGTGTTCTGGAAATCTAGTGGAGTATGAGCAACTTACAAGGTTCAGTATATAAAAAGGATGCATCATAATGGTCTTTGTTAAAACATTTAAAATCTTCTTTTTTTTCACTAGGGAAGAAGTGGTACATACAATGTACAAAGTAATGGTAATATCCTAAGGCAGATAAGAAGAAATAGTAGCAGGCATGCTTATGGATAATTGGCACTTTTGATTTAGCTCGTTTCATGTCATGTATAACAATTCTGAAGATAAAATGGAACATCTTTTCAAGCTGTGAATCTGTGTGACTGTATATTACTGCAAACTTCAAGAAGTGAACTTCCTGTGATGTTTTTGAAGGACTATGGTATTCAGATTGTGGGTGAATGACTCATTAGGGCACAGTACAGAGCAAATAGCCTGGAAAAATACAATGAACAGCAAAGTATGTTAAATACATTTTCTGCCTAATTAACGTTAAGCCATTATTTCTTAAAGCAGGTTTTTCCAAGCTTTAACATGTCAACTGTCCATTTTAATTAGGTACGCATAAATAGTATATTTACTTTTTAGTGCCATAATTTACATAAAGGTCTGATGAGCAATTCACCTAGTTTCACTAATGAGATAAAAGAAAATTCAACTTCCACTTAATCCAACTTATTATTTAAAGAAAGGGCAGAGCAGTCTTTGCATGGCACACCATAAATATTTATACATACCTGCTATTAAAAATTGATAACAACAAAACAGTTCTAATAATAATGAAGGGCTAAATGACTTGACTCATTTTTATGTTCATTTGAATAGAGCTAGAATTGGCTTGTTTTATGGAACTGCAAAATCATTATAAAATATTTACTTACTTAGCGCTTAACAAATCCTGATCTTTAAGGGCTGAACCCTGTAGGTAGATAACTCTTTGAGACCACATGGGAATCTGAAGAATGCGTCTAACCTGGATATCCATCTCAGTTGGACACAATATCACCGCATAGTAATCCTGTTATAAGAAAGGCTTACATTAATTTACGTGTGCAACACCAATAATGTTTTTTTAATGTAAAATCATAGAAAATACTGGAAGCTGAGTTATTCATATAGACTTGCAAATAGAGTTACAACTAATGCAGATTTAATATAAAACATGGCATATGTCCACCAATCCAATAACTGATTTAGTTGATGGAAACTGAAATTTTAAGCCAGCACTGTTGAAGTATCCAAAGGGAGCTATTTTAGTCACTGATCTCCTCCTCTTTTCTGTCCTCCTGTTGCCTTTTTAACACAAACAAGTAAACAAGATGTATATCTACTGTATGCTTCGCCTGCTCTTCCTCTAGAACAGGGAGTCAAACTGGTGGCCCTCCAGCTGTTGCCAAACTAAAAGTCCCATGTGGAATTGCAAGGGTGACAATTACAAGCATGACTCCCAAAGGCAGAGGCATCATGGGACTTGTAGTTTCACAACAGCTGGAGGGACACCAGTTTGGCAGACTTGCTCTAGAGCTTCTGTAAAATCAGACATCTGACACATAGTCCTAAATTAAGAGCCTATTTATTAAAAGGAGGGGTAGCCACTCACACAGAATCCAAGAAGGACCTGGAAGAACCTGGCTATCACTGTAGAAGCACCAAACACTATGGGTAGTTTCAGCTTTCGAAGTGGCCCATCAGGTATTAGATAGGTACCCTTACATTGTCAAGCTGGACATTTTACAATTTGGACAGAGTAGTTAGAGAATAAAACCTTGTAACCCAAAGTTGTGCCTACTAGGGGTATTTGGTGATATGGATCAAAAGACCTTCCTGAGATTATGCTTGTTTTATGCTAGGAAGACTGTAATATTACACTGGATTTCTACACACCTTTCATATTAATGCCTGAAAACACCAAGTGAATACTGTCCTTCCATATGAGGTCAGAAGTTGCCCTGCTATATTTAACAAGATTTTGGGTGATTGGGTGTTAAGTCTCAATTCTTGTGAGCAACTTTCCACATCATCTACAACCTAACCGTATTGATCCTACCTCTTACCAATGATTTCTCAAGGGATTCTGTTCGAATATACATTTCTTCATTTAGAGGTTAGAAGGCTCACACTTTGTCATTGACAACTGTCTACCAAGAACAGTTCCTCAATCGCACACAGTTTTTGGTTCTATTTTATGATTGTGGTACAGTTCTTAATTTCTCTAAATTCTTAGTCTTTACAGGTGAAACTCAAAAAATTAGAATATCGTGCAAAAGTTCATTTATTTCAGTAATGCAACTTAAAAGGTGAAACTAATATATGAGACTCATTACATGCAAACCAAGATAGTTCAAGATGTGATTTGTCATAATTGTGATGATTATGGCTTAAAGCTCATGAAAACCCCAAATCCACAATCTCAGAAAATTAGAATAATGTGAAAAGGTGCAATATTCTAGGTTCAAAGTGTCCCACTCTAATCAGGTAATTAAGCCTTAACACCTGCAAAGGGTTCCTGAGCCTTTAAATGGTCTCTCAGTCTGATTCAGTAGGAATCACAATCATGGGAAAGACTGCTGACCTGACAGTTGTGCAGAAAACCATCATTGACACTCTCCATAAAGAGGAAAAGCCTCAAAAGGTAATTGCAAAAGAAGTTGGATGTTCCCAAAGTGCTGTATCAAAGCACATTAATAGAAAGTTATGTGAAAGGGAAAAGTGTGGAAGAAAAAGGTGCACAAGCAGCAGGGATGACCGCAGCCTCGAGAGGATTGTCAGGAAAAGGCCATTCAAAAGTGTTGGGAACTTTCACAAGGAGTGGACTGAGGCTGGAGTCAGTGCATCAAGAGCCACCACACACAGGCGAATCCTGGACATGGGCTTCAAATGTCGTATTCCTCTTGTCAAGCCGCTCCTGAACAATGTCAGAAGCGTCTTACCTGGGCTAAAGAAAAACAGACCTGGTCTGTTGCTCAGTGGTCCAAAGTCCTCTTTTCTGATGATATAAAATTTTGCATCTCATTTGGAAACAAAGGACCCAAGTACGGAGGAAGAATGGAGAGGCACACACTGCAAGCTGCTTGAAGTCCAGTGTGATTTCCACAGTCTGTGTTGATTTGGGGAGCCATGTCATCTGCTGGTGTTGGTCCACTGTGCTTCATTAAGTCCAGGGTCAACGGAGCCATCTACCAGGAGATTTTGAGGCACTTCATGCTTCCTTCCGCAGACAAACTTTATGGGGATGCTGACTTCATTTTCCAGCAGGACTTGGCACCTGCCCACACTGCCAAAAGCACCAAAACCTGGTTCAATGATCGTGGGATTACTGTGCTTGATTGGCTGGCAAATTCGCCTGACCTGAACCCCATAGAGAATCTATGGGGCATTGCCAAGAGAAAGATGAGAGACATGAGACCGAACAATGCAGAAGAGTTGAAGGCCGCTATTGAAGCATTCTGTTCTTCCATAACACCTCAGCAGTGCCAAAGGCCTCCTCGTGGCACCGACGGCTTAGTGTCAACGGTGCCCTGGGCTAAGCCGTCGGTGCCACGAGGAGGCCCGGTGGCCATCTTGATTTCTTAAAGGGTCAGTGTGTTTGCTCATACTTGGCTATGTGATACTCATTATGCACCTGTGTTTTCTGGAATAAAAGTTTTACCTACTACACTATGAGTGCTTCCCTATGTCTCCTGTGAGGAGCTTCTTCCATCCTTGCAGCCCTAGTGATCCCTGTGTCAGCTCCTTTGGAGGCCTATCCAGATTGATACTGCTCTGACCTGTTGGACCACTTTCTCACCACATGAGGGCGTAGGATCTCCATCCTTCCCAGCTATTTCCCTGACCAGACCTGAGAGGAGAGGGGGATCTTCAGGATATATATATATATATACACATGCGTATTACCCATGCGCTTTCTGGTTAGTGTGAATTTCTACCATTTGCACTGGGAATCAAGGAGCACTGTTTTCACCGGACTGTGTTTATCATTACTTTTTCATAAGAGCGCTGCATTTCTTTTATTTATGAATTTTGGGACTTTTTATGCGTTTTCCTTTAATGTTCAGCTGCTTTATATTGTTGATGAGAGCTTACTATATATTTTATTATCCTCTTATCTGGGTATAATATTGTGTTTGTTTGCACTAATATTCATTTTAGTGCATTTTTACCTTGTATTCATTTTATTCTATTCTCCAGGGTCTTTGCTTTGAAAATATATGTAGGTTTGAGGGTTTAAAGTAATTTCTCCAAATAATGCTGATTTACCATATGTGCAAAAAAAAAAAAAAATGCACAAGACAAGATAAGGTCCAATGTTCCAAAGTTTGATGTAATAAGGTTTACTTTTCTGCAACATAGAAGAACACATTCTTTACAAATGCTTTTTTGGCTCTGCTTACAGCTTCTGGAGTGACAATAGATGGCAAACCTGATAAATCTTGGCTTTCAGCTACTTCTGTGCTATCCAACAGGTACAAACTGGGATATTTTAATACGCTCAGTAAATAATATCTAATTTATGTTTTAAACATGTTCATGCTATTGTAAAAATTTTCATTATAAAAAAATAAAAAAAATTCTATATTTTTAAATATGCAGCTTTTATCAAAATAATTCTATACAGCTATTGCTTAGGTGCTTATATGAAGAAAGGAAGAGGCTTCAGGAGATCAGGCATCATGAGCTGCACAGTGCTTTAGCAAATTGTGTCATTCATTTAGGGTTTACATCAATATGAGTGATAAAAAAATTATTGTAGGTCCCCATCCTGCATGCTTTGTTTTTTACCTTTTCAAAAATAGGCCACTTTCATCTGCAAATGTAAAAATACAGTTTGGAGGAATGAGAGAAGTTTAAAGTTTTCTCAGCTTGCCAGAATTTCGAAGGGTTCAGGAATATTTAGGCAAAGCTTCACCATTAGCTACCATTGTGTTCACTGGTGTTATTGAGGAATTAAAAACAATAGTGATTTCAAGTGTGTAATGGGCTTTATAAAGCCATGCAAGACTCCAGTGCTACATGAAATGTTTTTTTTTTATTGACCATAAAGTTATGAATCCATAATCATGTGGCTTTTATTAACCAGGCCATGTCACACAGTGGCAAGGTCTGACATACAGTAGCTTTGTTTATAAATAAGGTCATATCACACAGGGTGGATTTTTTTGCCTAGCAGTGTCACATGGTGAAGCTCATTTTAAAAACATTTTAGTCAGAATGGCTGTTTTTTAGCAGTGAAATCAAGTTCAGAAAAATCATCCACTTATCCTATTAGGGAACTGTATTACAATATAGATTCCCTATGTCTATGTAGGGCTACCCCTACAGGAGCCTCTGGTATTTTTGACCTATTTGCCCCACTCACAGCATACACAGCCAGACACACCACATTTTGGTATTCTTCTTCCCCTAGCTTAAAGATCAGTCTAGTGTTTTCTTTATTAGAACAGTTACTTGGATATGAATAGGGAGCATGGGATACCATGGAACAATAGAACAAATTGAGGACTGCTAAGCTTCTTGCTGCTCTGTACAAAAATGCAGCCTGTATTGTACAACCTCTGGATGCACTGTACCTCCTTGAACTGTCTTGTACAGCTCTTGGCTGTCTTGCACCACTCCTGTCTGTACCGGGCAAACTTCTAAGTAGTATTGAAGAAACTTCTAAGCAGTATCCTGGCTGTTTTGCACAATTCCGCACTGCACTGCACTTGCTTGAGGGGGTAGACCACCCCACAGTCACTTCTCTGTTTAACAGGATCAGTTACTCACTCAGCCCAAGAATGGTTGGGCTTTCTCCCACCAACTTCCATCTGGCTCTCTTCAGTAGCTCCCCCCCTTCCCCGCTAAGCTTAGTTGGGACCTCAGTGCCTTCAAAGGCTCCTCTGGTTTCCTGTCCATCTCTCTGTGCCCCAGGAGCAGAGCCCCTGCACATTGCATGGTTGAGTTGTAGGTAATGGAAGTGCATATTATGTAAACCCAAAGATTTTCCACCTATTTGCATATTGCAATTTGGCTAGTTCTACAGATGTATTGATTAGCCAAACAGGGCTGATCAGTAAAGCCAGTGACATGTTGTAATTATTTAGCTTTATTCCAAAATTTGTACATTAAGATACAAGTAACACATTGTGACAGACCCAACTAGGACAGGGGCTTTTGGAGGGGACAACAGGCTAGCCTCTTTTTTGTACTGTTGAATTGTTGGTCGAGGGGGGCGCGCTGGACACCTTAGCTACCATTGTGCTACATTCTGGGTGTCCAGTGCGCTCCTGTACCTTTTTAAGGAGGAGTGGGCTCCCTCAGGTCCACCTGCCCTTGGTCTATCCATTAAATACATGTGCCTCTACTATGGGGGATCTTAAAATTTAAGAGTTAGGAACTACAGAATACTGGGGTTCCGTGACGAGGCTCCGTAGCTTACGCATGTATTTGCAAATGTGTGCTAACTAAACTCCTGTTTTTAATGCATACTGCAGACAGGTAATTCGGTTTGTTTGCAGGCTGGCTGGCAAGTGTGGGTTGGGAATTTTTCTTTTCTTTTTTGTTGTTTGACATGCATCACCCATCCATGTGCTCCTTGCTGTGAAAGGTCAATTATAGACTGGGCAGTGGTCATTTTTTGTAGTCTCTTGCCCACTGACTATGGGCCCCGGCATCTGGGGAGGCTATCTTCTTTGGGAGGTGTCTGCCAGGGGGACCTTTTGGAGTAGTTTTACTTTGAATTCAAGTCCATGTCTCCCCGAAACACACAGACTACAAGAATTGGAGGATCCAGCTACAGATTTGGGGCATCTGTGTTTTTCTGGGGTATACAATCAACAGCCCAAGCCAGCATTGACTACTTCAACCCCCTCCTAGACTTAGAGACTCAAAAACAGAAGATTATAATTGGCTCAAAACAACCTGATGCTGGGGTCTTCTGCTGTTATGTGTAATCTGTTTATTAAAGTGTTATGTGTTTACTGTTATAATGTGTACCTGTGTTTGCCTATCCTGTCTAGGTGTGAAGTGTCTTTCTCCTATTGTTTAATTTTCCCATTGTCTGCCTCCTAGGTGTAAATTCCCATTGTTAATTGAGTAACTTATTGTCCATGTCTGTTTGCTAATCCTCCTGGAGATTCCTACAAGATGATGTGAATATTTGTTTTTATTGTTCATGTGGTGACTGCCCCTATATTTGAAGTGTATAAAAAAAAAACAGTATTCTGTTATTCCTTTGATTTTACCTAAGCATCTTGTCTGTGTATGATCCTTGGGGTAAAGGGCTGGTAATATCTATCAGTTTGCTGGAAGGGTTTGGAGGGCAGAAGGCACTGTTTGGTGGAAGCACCCAGTCAGGGTGCTAGGTGGTCCATCAGAGAAATGTTCTATATCAGTATGTATACAGTATATTGATATATAATATTGAATAGTGGCCTTTTCACAGGTCAGGTGGAGAATAATTTCTTCATCTTTATAGTGTAGCAATCTAACCAGTATTGGTCTGGGAGGGTGTCCTGGAGGTGATGGATGCAAATGGGTTCTGTGAGCATGTTCTACTGAAGAATAGGGACAAAAATAGCTTCTTTACTAAAGAGCTCTAGTGACCATCTCTCTGCAAACTCAGTAGGATCTCTCCCTTCAGTGCTCTTGGGCAAGCTCACAATATACACATTGTTGAGTCGATGTCTGTTTGTAATATCCTCAGTTTTTAGATTATTAGTAGACATGTGCAGTTCAGTTCATTTAGATTTGTTTTTTGGACAAACATTTAATTTTTGGAGATTCTGATTTATCTGAATTTCTGAACGGACATAATAACAAATCTGAACAAATCCAAGAAAGTTATAACAACATTTTCGTATTAATTTGCAATCATTCAGGTCCTTTTGGATCATTGAGAAGATCTGTTTTTTAAGGCGCAGTCAGCCACCATGTCTTTAACAACCATGACTCATCTGCTGTCATTGGGATTCCCCCTCTTTCAGGAGAATGTAAACAAAAGAAGTGTCAATTTAAAAAATTTAACCCCTTGGCGCTATTCTGAATAAAAACAAAAATGAATGCCAAATATACAAAACAAATTCCGAAAATGAATAGGTCCATTAACGAAAAACTTTTTTTTTCCTGGCGTGTACATGTCAAAATTATTAGCTTTTTCCAATTGTGCAGTGGAGTGAGCCTCACTGATCAGGGGAGGCATCTTGTCCTCCAGGTCATTTATGCAACTTTTAGCTGCTATTGTATATTCCCTGATTTTCTGCAGGTCCTGCTTCAGCAAGGAAACCTCCTCCTTCAGCCCATCTAGGTGACATCTTACAGTGTTAACTAAAGCTGTGCATTTATTAACAGCAAACAGTATTTCCCCTAGTGTAGGTTGATCATTAGTTTCATTGGTAGCAGCATCTGTGACATCTGGTGTGAGATTGTCAGGTGTAGTAACTTAGTCTGCTTCTGGCAAAGGGGCAAAATCCCATATGCCTATCCTGTAGCGTGCCCTGTGAGGCCTCAAAGTCCAGAGATATCAAGTGCTCCTGAGAGCCTGATTCTCTGAAGTTTCTAGACATAAAACAGCATATCCGATATGATCTCCTTCCCTGTCAGGCAGCAGATCTTGCCAGTTTTATATACTGGGGTAGATTTACTAAAACTGGTGCACTCAGAATCTGGTGCAGCTGTGTATGGTAGCCAATCAGCTTCCAATTTAATCTTGTTCAATTAGGCTTTGGCAATAAAACATGGAAGCTGATTGGTTTCTATGCAAATTTGCACTAGATTTTGCACTCTCCAGCTTGAGCAATTAACCCTACACTGTGTCCTTGGGCTTGTCCAGTCCTCTGGGGGCATGTCATAGATGGGCTGACTGGGTGCCATTTTGGGACTCCAGGGTCATAGCTTCCTCCTTATTTTTGCGGGTCAACATGAGTACAAGTCAGCTTGTCAGCGTATGCTGTTTGGAGGTAATTTGGTCTAGTAGCTTGGCTTGGGGAAGGATCTTTTCAAGATATGCAGCGGGAGCTCTGTGAGCTTTGTCTACTTGTATGCCATTTGTTGCTAAGCCCAATTTGCTTATTTTTTATGTATTTGTCCTCTGCACACTTCCTGTCTCAGTTGTTATCTTGGGACTGCAAGTTAATTAGTAGCCTATGCTTTGGAGTTGAAGACGGTGAGGTGGACTGAGTGGTTTAGCAAAAAAAAAAACTGGGCAGGACTGACACTACTCAGTACACAAAAAGTCTGTGTTGTCAGTTCACAATAGAGACTAGGAACGGGGAGGGGGGGGGGAATAAATGGGTATTTTTCTATACTTTCAGGAGAGGCCTTTACATACTGCACACTTTAAGGTAATACACATTCTATTCAGAATAAAGTTCTAAGAATTTGTTTACCTGTAGTCTTGGGTGTGCATAGAATTCATTAAAGAAATCCATTAACAGATAAATTTTCAAGGAGCTAACACATAAGACCACATGTTTTTCTGTTTGAGCTCGGTAACGGCTGTAATTCCCACCTGATTTTTGCCTTTCCATCCACAGATATACCAGCTGTTCAAACTAAGAAATTACAAGAATGAATAAAATATACTGTACATTTACAGGCACAAAAATCTAGGGTCACTAATGAAAATGTTGTGCTATGATGGCAAAACAGTATTTGTGAATGAACGAAATATACTGTACATCTATAGAAACAAGTAAAATCTACACATGTATTGCCATGCTCAGAACAGTAGACTTAAATTTTACTGCAGTGATAGTTGGATGGCAAAGCAAACACGTCATATATCAAACTTTATATTATTTATCTTATCACATTTTTATTATTTTCATTAAACTAAATTTAAGTCCAGTTAAAGCAAAATAAAGCCTGGAAGTGATACAAATTTTCCTATATTAAAGTGGCTGTAAACTTGGAAAGTCAAATACAAACAGAGCACTAGATCCAAAGAACAAGGGTACAAATAGGGCAGTACAATGGCTAAATGGTTAGCATTTCCACCTGGCAGTACTAGGGTTGTCGGTTCAAATCCCAACCACGGCATCACCTGCCTGGAGTTTGCATGTTCTGTGCCTGTGTAGGTTTCCTCCAGGTATTCCGGTTTCCTTCCACACTCCAAAAACATGCCGGTAGGTTAATTGGATCCTGTCTAAATGGCCCTAGTGTGTGTATGTATGAATGTGAGTTAGGGACCTTAGATTGTATGCCCCTTGAGGGTTAGGGACTGATGTGAATGTACAATATATATATATGTAAAAGCACTGTGTAAATTGATGGCACTATATAAGTACGTGAAATAAATAATTTGTGCATAGTATGGCAGGTTTCTACAGCCTATTATCTGTAATCCTGCTCTTTTGATTTGAAAAAAAAAAAAAACACCATGAAAAAATGGTTGCACCATGCCCCCTTCTCCTTTTGATTGACAACCTGTGTAATGAGACACATGCCTGAGCCTGTGTGAAGTGGGCATGTCTGCTGCTGCTCTGTACCTTGCTGTGAGCTGTGACTGAGGTCAGAGCTGAGTTTACTTTCACTTTCCTCTCTTCTCTGGAGATTCAGTTGTAAAGCTCACAAGAGTCAGCAGAGCATACAGATAAAGAGACATCAGAGAGAGAGAGACATCAGCAAAACAGAGAGGCATAATAGAGAGAGAGAAAAACATCACAGAGGGAGAAACATCAGAGAGAAATAGAGAGACACTAGAGAGAGGCCTCAGAGAGACAGAGAGGCATCAGAGAGAGAGAGATCAGATAATACAGAGACAAAGAGATACATCATATAATACAGAAAGAAAGAGACATCAGAGAGAATGAGAGAGAGAGAGAGAGAGAGACATTAGAGAATACAGCATAAGAGACATCAGAGAATACAGATTAAGATAGACATCAGAGAGAGACATCAGAGAGTACATAAAAAGAGGGAGACATCAGAGAGAAATAGAGAAAGACTGACAGAGAGAAAGAGACATCAGAGAGAGAGAGAGAAAAAAACATTAGAGAGACAGAGAGAGACAACAGAAAATACAGAGAGAGAGAGACATCAGAGAATACAGAGAGAGAGAGACATCAGATAATAGAGAGGGAGGAAACCAGAGAGTAAAGAGAAAGACATTAGAGGATACAGAGAGAGGGACTTTAGAGAGAGAGAGGCCAGAGAGACAGAGAAAGACATCAGAGAATACAGAGACAAAGAGGCACATCATATAATACAGAAAGAAAGAGACATCAGAGAGAGAGAGAGAGAGAGAGAGAGAGAGAGAGAGACATTAGAGAATACAGCGTAATAGACATCAGAGAATACAGATAAAGATAAACATCAGAGAGAGACATCAGATAATACAGATAGAGAGAGACATCAGAAAATACAAAGGGAGAGAGACATCAGAGAGTACACAAAAAAAGGGAGACATCAGAGAGAGAGAGAAAGACAGAGAAAGACAACAGAAAATACAGAGAGAGAGAAAAACATCAGAGAGAGACATCAGAAAATACAGAGAGAGAGACATCAGAGAATAGAGAGGGAGGGTAGCAGAGAGTAAAGAGAAAGAGACATCAGAAGATACAGAGAGAGAGACTTTAGAGAGAGAGAGAGAGAGAGTGATATAATTGAATTTGGAGAGAGACTTCATAGAATTCAGAGATATATAGTAGGGAATACAGAGCTACAGACAGCAGAGAGCAAAGACAGAGACATCAGAGAATGCACAGAGACCAAGAGACTTTAGAGAGAGAAAAATAGATTTCAGAGAGACGGCAGAGATTACAGATAGAGAGAGAGAAAAAAGACATAGAGAATACATAAAGAGGCTCTGTGATTAGGTGGGGGGGAATAGTGCGATGTTAGGTCTTCGCCCCCCAAACATTGGTGCTATGCCATGCCCGCAGATTGGCAGATTTATGAGGGCTACAATCAAATGATAATGACTTTTTGAGAGTTACACACAATGTGAATTAGGTTATAACAACATTATCTACTAGACCACGCAAGAGAATGATGTTTTGGAGTTTGTATTTCCAACCACTTTAAAACTGTGTGGTTCTTGACTTTGGGGCTTATTAGTGATGTATAAATTATTAAAAGTGTTCACTTTCCTAGTACCCTCTTGGATTTCATGTGATTACCCACCCTCTCTGTTACATCAAACTCAAAACAAAGTTTACAAAGGCCAAGTGAGTGTAACTAAACCTTAAAGAAAAAAATTAAAAAAAATCAACTTTGTTCTTGGATGTGATGGCTACATTAGTTTCCTTTGTTAGGGTTTTTAAAACCTTTATCTGCACTTGACAATCCTGCTAGTATTATACTGTACGTGCTATCGTAGGCTGACAATGCTTACTCCTAGTACTGTAGCTAGGTAGAAGCAGTGCTTTCACCTTAGGTTGTTCTCTCAATTTAGATTGAAAATACATTCTTCTCAATCCTCATCTCCATTACACAGGGAGAAGAAGTTGTGTAGTTCAAAAATATAGCTGGGGATACTAATAGCATTTAGATTGCAGGTTGACTGTAAGAAGTTACAAGGATAATGGATTTCTATCAATTTTAAAAGGTATTTTCTATACTTGCAGACAAAGTTCTTAGCCTGCAAAAAGGAAGCTAATGCAGCCACCACATCTATGGATTGGTAATCTACATTATAAAACATTTTTGTTCTTGTTTTAGATATACTAAAGTGACTTTTTTACTTAAGGGTGCTTTCATGCTTTCCGTCACTCTGATTGAGAAATGTTTTAGCATTTTCTTCTAGGGATTAACCTTTCCCACCACCTTACAATCATTCCAATTGACAAAGCTGGCATTCCATCATACCAGTGAGCCAATATGAATACCCAGATGGTGAAAGCTTTGCCACTTCTTAGCAGCTGCCTACACTTGATTCCTGTAACAGTTTTTTTTTTTTTTTTTTAAAGCGAGCTAAATAAAGCAGCATCATGGAAGTGGAGGTTATTTTACAAACCTAAATTGCTATGATATGCAGAGAATGTAGAGTAGTCAGAAATGAAGAAAGATTCAAGTTCCCGGCATGAAGTCTGACAGTAATGCAATAAAACACAGAAGTTATTAGAATAACAATTTTATTGTTCAGAAATATGTATAGATGCCAGTGGAAGGTTTGAGGTAAGGGTTCAGGAATGATGTCTATTTCTCTAAGCTCATGTTTTATTTGCTTTGAGATACATTCACCACGGGATGCCAAGCCTGCACAGTTCAGTAAAGCCAATTGCGAAAACTCAAGGTACTATACACAAACAAATGTGCAGTGAGCCAGAAGTTGTTATTTTTATATCCATCCACACTGGCCTTTGATTTTTTTTTTTTTAGAATTCAGTGAACTGATAACCTATCTTAGGTGAATGCTTATGTGAATACATACTTCCATATAGAGCCATGTACAGAAGCTTCAGCTTCAAGGCTCCCATGGAACTTTTAGAAGCTTGAGAACTGGGAAGGAGCAAGGAAAAACAGCATGCATAATGTACCATAACAATTTGTAGGCATAATAATGGTAGTTATCAGGTTCATTGCTTGACAGGCCTATTGGAAAATAACTATATTAACATTACCCTCTTAAAATAATGCTGACTTGACAATACATAAGCCAAAAAATGGAAACCTTAAAAAGCATGGGCTATAAATGGACAGTCAAGCAAATGGACAATCAAATGTCATCAAATAGGCAGGTATTAGAATACAAAGCATCAAACAAGTAACCATTACAACAGATGGGCAACAAACTGTTAAAATATGTGGGCATTGGCAAAAACACTGAAAATATCTTGAACTAAGTCTGCCTTCAATCCCTCTATACATTTACTACAGAGTTCCTGTCCAGCATCAGACTGTAGTGTACATCTCCTATCCAAGCATGTCCTTATTGGACAGAGGAAGGGACTAGAGAGAAACTAGAATGAATGTTTGCCACTCCAGCTGCTGTGTCACTAGAGTAGTATTGCTAATGTTACTACTACAGTCAGTTATTGAGCTAGATTAAACTCCTAATGACAATCATTTTGATTAGCAGGAATTTCCACCTAAAACCTAGAGAAATCCTGGAGTTATTATTGTCTTGTTCCCGTGTGGTTTATTTATTAAACTAAGTGCTTATGTAAACTACATAATGATTGTACACCAAGCAAACATAAATGTATCATACCTGAATTGGAAGAACAACTAGTGCTACGCAGATCATTATGACCACTAAAAGTTTTGATGTCCATTTGTTTATGGTCACATTTCCAAATAAGCAGAAGTAGAGAGAATCAAATAGTGTCAGGTTATTTCCAGCTCGCTCTAAGTGTTGAATCCCACAGATGCTGAAAAACAAATTTGCAGTACATTTACACCCATGGAAATTATGAGTTTTGAAAGAACATACATATATTAAAGCAAACAACCAAAGTAATAATTTGCAAAGAGATTACCTAAAGCAGCACGCAGAAATCAGTTAAATGGAATCTGACAGTTTAACTTTTTGGTGTCTGTATTTTATTGTTGTAGCATTTGTTTTTTCATTGACAGTCTCTTCAACTATAATCTGAGTATTGTGA